GGAGAATCTCTTAAACCTGGGAGGCAGAGGTTGCAGTGAGCCAAGATCGCGCCACTGATCCAGCCTTGGCCATAGAGTGAGATTGTGTCTGAAAAATACACAGACAAACAAATAAATTCTCAAATGCATGGGAAAAGAGCAATTCCATGGCAGCAAGATTCTATAAAAAACCAAAAAGGAGGCAGCTCAGGTAGGCAGCCTGCCTCACCCACAGCTCACAAGGAAACCCACACTCCAATAGTTCCACATTTTCAAGTTTAGGAACCACTTGGACCGTGGAGACAGAGGCCAGGCTGGCCCACTCCTAGGTAGTGTATGAGGGAAATGTGAGCAGCCAGAAAATTACTTCTGGGACTTCCACACACACCCTGCTATCCCCTCTCCACAGTGTGGACACACAGTCCTTCCGCCAGGGTCTCAATGCCCACCAAAGACCATGCACTTACTGAGTCAGTGGAAGGTTCTGACCTATGTTGTCTTTTTGTCTGACACCAAATGTGTGGTGCTTGCTGAACACCAACCAATTCTCCAGCACTAAGCAGTTATGTAACCATTCAATTCAGAAACCACCCAGAGTTAGCAGAGACTCCACGAGGTCCTGGCTCACCCAACACAGCCCCACTCGACAGAGGCAAGTGAAAGCCCCAGTGGCCACCTGTACTTCTCAGCAACTGCATCTAGACCTGGGTCCTGTACAACACCTTCCTCAAGTTCCATAATTTGATAGAACTACCTACAGTTCTCTTACATTTACCCACTTACTATGAAGGATACCACTCAGGACCAGTCCAATCAAAGACATGGATAGAAAAAGAGTAAGGGGTGTGGAAAGGATATAGAGGATATGGGGTGGGTGGGTCATCCTGAAAATGGCTGTGATTCATGAAATCCCCCATCCTTTGTGTTGTGCAAGAGCACCTTACTCCAATGAAACACCCTTCCCATTATGACTTAGATGACGTCACGTTTGTTACCTATGACAAACCAGACACAGACTAGAAATTCCAGTATTTACCTCACAAACCATTAGTTGAATAGTTTTCTCTTTAGTGATCAGTCAAAATGAAATATCTATTAACCAAAGCGTGCTTCAGTTTCTCTCCTTCCTCCAGGTCCCTGAGCTTTTTTCTTTTTTTGAGACAGTCTTGTTCTGTAGCCCAGGCTGGAGTGCAGTACCATGATCTTGGCTCACTGCAACTTCTGCCTCCCTGGTTCAAGTGGTTCTCATGCCTCACTCTCCGGAGTAGTTGGTGTTACAGGTGTGTGCCACCATGCCCAGTTAATTTTTATATTTTTCATAGAGATGGTGATTCACCATGCTGGCCAGGGTGGTCTTGAACTCCTGACCTCAAGTGATCTGCCCACCTCAGCCTCCCAAAAGTGCTGGGATTACAGATATGAGCCATCATGCCCAGTGGCCCCTGAATTTTTGACTGACCTCTTCTAAGCCTATAAACAAGCACATTTTATGTATTTATTTAATGTTTTTATTTTTACTTACAAGTTCAGTACCTAGACTTTTCTGTTATGACCTATTTTAATGACAAGCTGACTTCAACATCTAGAATTAAGTTATTTCTTACCTAAACCCACATTTGTTTCACTAGAAATGTCTAGGAAAAGCCCCATGACAAAACTGTCACTTGTGGAGGGCATCACTGACTATTGCATCTGCCTGTGGATCCCTAGCTTTCCAGGGCTCTGAGGTTCTCTCAGTATAAAGGGTTTCTCCCATGGTCAACATGAGTAGCTGGTACACCTGCAGTGGGGGCACCATGGGAAGAACCAAGTGAGCTTTTTTTCTTTTTTGGAGACAGAGCCTTGCTCTGTCACCCAGGCTGAAGGGCAACGTCATGATCTCAGCACACTGCAACCTCCGCCTTGCAAGTTTAAGCTATTCTTGTGCCTCAGTCTCCCAAATGGCTGGGATTACAGGCATGAGCCACTATACCTGGTTACTTTTTGTATTTTTAGTAGAGATGGAGTTTTGCCATGTTGGCCTGGTTAATCTCAAACTCCCAACCTCAGATGATGCACCCACCTCGGCCTCCCAAAGTGCTGGGATTACAGATGTGAGTCACCCCACCTGGTGTGAGCTTTCAATGATCACTCTGTGTAGGATCAGCACTCAAACAGGCACCAATGTCGCTGACTTCCAAAATTAGCGGCCTTCCTGGCGTATGAAGATCCTTTGGGACTGTGCTCCTGTATCCTCTTTGGGGTGCTCCTTGGGCTCTTTGTGAAGCCTCAAGACACCCCTATATCTAGGCCGTCAGGCTCTCCAGTGTGTCCTGTTCATCACCCTCACCCTGCACTTTCATTGTCACTGTCATTGGCCATTCCAACATTGTGCTTGCATCCTATGGAAAGTCACATTTGGGATTCTTTCTACTCTTTGGTGAAAAGTATCAGGGTGTATTTGGCCTTCAAGGGAGAAGGATGAGGTAGGGGTTGGATTCAGGTGCACCCAACTTTTTTTTTTTTTCTCTTGAGATGGAGTCTCACTGTATCGACTAGGCTGGAGACTGCAATGGTGTGATCTCAGTTCACTGTTATCTTTGTCTCCAGGTTCAAGCCATTCTCCTGCATCAACATCCTTATTACCTGGGATGAGAGGCACACACCACGATGCCCAGCTAATTTTTGTATTTTTAGTAGAGACAGGGTTTCACCATGTTAGCCAGGCTTGTCTTGAACTCTTGACCTCAAGTGATCCACCCGCTTTGGACTAGCAAAGTGCTGGGATTACAGGTGTGAGCCACCATGCCTGGCCAGTTTTCACTGCCCTGTCTTCCCTGCTGTGAGTCACTTTGTGTGATCTGACAATCAATGATTCCACCCTTCACTGATGTGGATACATTATCTGGGACTGGGTATGTCACCGCCACACACAGACAGGGTTTGGTCAGTGGCTGATGCTGCATCCTGTGGTGCCTGGATTTTGAACTTAGGGAGTTTTAAATAAGCGTTTCTGAAGAGCAGCTTCATTGGCACCTTAAAGGAAGTGACTGAATTGGTCTATGCCATTGCATAATATATAAAAGAAACTTTTCCATGTTGCTGTTAACTTTACACTGCTGACATAAGCAGGCTGTTGACAAGTTAGCATCGACAGCACATTATCAGAGAAAGACAGGCTTGTATTTAGACAATTTATACAAATTTATTAGCCTCCTATGACTCAGTAAAGCAATTTGAAAAAATATAGCTTTATAAGGCACAAATGAATTCATGTTTTAACTAAGGTACTTTCTGATAAACAGTGCCCATACATTTTAGGAAATATTTTAGTCTTTAGAGCATAAGTAAGGCAAAAACAGGTCCAGGAGTCTACAGATGACCTCCCCTCACCACAAGGTGAAGTCTTTTTTTTTGTTTTTTTGAGACACAGTTTTGCTCTTGTTGCCCAGCCTGGAGTGCAACAGTGTGACCTCAGTTCACTGCAACCTCTGCCTCCTGTATGCATGTGGTTCTCCTGTGTCAGCCTCCTGAAGAGCTAGGATTACAGGAGCATGCCACCACGCCTTGCTAATTTTTGTATTTTTAGTAGAGATGGGGTTTGATCATATTGATCAGAATGGTCTTGAACTCCTGACCTCAGCCTCCCAAAGTGCTGGGATTACAGGCGTGAGCCACCATGCCCAGCCAAGGCCAAGTCTTTTACTATTGGAGAGACATGATGCTCCTCAGTTACCATGATGGATCAGGACAAAAACAAGGGCATTTTGAAACTATATTTCTAAGGAAATAATATATTTAATTAATATTTATTTTTACTTATAAGTTCAGTACCTAGACCTTTTTGTTATGACCTATTTTAATGACAAGCTGACTTCAAGGTTTAGAATTAAAAGTTATTTCTTACCTAAACCCATATTTGTACATAAAAATATATAGAGGAAAACATATTTCAAATCATAAGCATGGCCAAAAGTTTTCTCTTCTTACTAATGTGACTTGTAATTCTCATGCATCTCACAGTCATTTATGGCTTTTGGTCATCTTTATCACTATGGTATATTACACCTTTGCTGACAGCAGGTATGGCACTGTTGGTTTTGG